AAGAGGAGGCGCTTCAGCCGCCAAAGAAGAGGAAGAAGTGAACAAATGGTTTTACCCTCTAACATTTTAGATTCAAAAATCAAAACATGTTATGGCTTCTTTTACCTGAGGAGAATCATAAGGCATCATCCGCTTTTAGCTTCAACTGTGTCTTTGTTGTTCCATAAACCAAAAAGACTTTGTTTTATGTATTACCATTTTGATATCCAAATGGCACCAGCAATAGCAGATTCCTCTTCTTTAGACCATCTTCTAATACCATGCATGTCTAACGAGGCCATCAAATGTGATCAGATATATAACAAATTTAAGGGCCATATTTAGCTAAACCAATACATGTTTAAAATAAATTTATCCTATTGAGTAGCATGTCTCCTATCACTTTGGTTGAACAATGCAAACAAACCAAAAAACCTGGTCATCTGAGAATCCATATGATCCAAAATGAAACTCCGTGGATAAGGTCTCTTCCTCAGGAACAGTAAGGCATAAAGATTAGTTTTAGGCAAAAGAATAATAAACCTCTTAATGCAAACCTTTCCTCATGAGTCACAATACCACGCAGATTGCACAAAGGTCGTTGACGAATAATCACAATGATTTTACTAGAGTCAGACGCAGAATTATATGAGCGATAGACTGTCTATCCAACTGTATCAGACAAAAGTTAAAACTAAATGGAAAAAAAAGAAAAGAAAAATAAAACATACCAAAAAAAAACCTAAAAAATACTGCTTGAGTTTGATTCCAGGAAATACAAAGTGAAACAGAAGAGAACGGGGATGAGAGAAAGAAATGTTAAAAAGACATCCCAGAACTGCATGTATTATCATTCTCATGCTCAGCTCACAAGCCTCACATCATCTGCAAAGTTGGAGTTCAAGAAAACAAAACTTTATCAAAAGCTTAAAAGACAAAAAGAAAACATATGGAAACAAGAGCAATGCCCAATCCTCTTGGTCTGATAACCCCGAAAAGTGAAAACAAAAGAAAAAAGGGACAAACATCAAAACGATAATTAAACTAAAACTAAAACAATGAACAAAACAGGAATAACAAGTGTTACTGTCCATTTAAAGACGTTACCACCAAACAGGAAAAACAAGTGCAAACTATCACAGATTATATACCTCAGTGCAACAGTAAAACCAAATAAACCAAGATATGAATCCAAAATGTGAATTTAAAAACTAAGCTCAACAACATTCGTCCCCACCATCACCAACCTTACACAGCTAATGAAGAAAGTAAATTTGATAAAATAAATGGTACTAA